TTAAATCTAAAAAATATTACTTCAACACAATAAAATGGTGCAAGTGCAAGACAAATCAATAATGATGGGAACCAAAATAATAAATGTTTTAAAAAAAATTATTTAACATAATAAAAAAAAAATTAGGTTTAGGTCAATGTACCTTTTTTTTCTTCTAAAAAAGGGATGCACTTGGTGGTGTTGAAGATGATTTTTGGTTGAGATGATTCACTTAAGTAAAATTTGGGAAGATTTCTAATTTTTTTTTTTTTTTTTATGAGGAATGGAAGAGAAAGGCCCGCGCAGCAATATATGTGCTCACTCTTTTTTCTTTTTTATTTTTTTTTAATAGGTAAACATTAATAAGGGTATAGTGGTACTTTTAACCCCTAAAATGGCTACATTTCATCTTTTCTAGAAACATGGCTAGATTTCATTTTTGTCTTCAAAAAAGTGCTACAAACCGGCGGCACTGTAGTATAATATTCTATAACATATTTTAACATATACTATATAAGATATAAACAATAAGATATAATACATAAGATATAAACTATAACATTTAAGATATAAGATATAAGATATAAGATATAAACTATAACATATAAGATATAAGATATAAGATATAAGATATAAACTATAAACTATAAGATATAAGATATAAGATATAAGATATAAACTATAAACTATAAGATATAAGATATAAACTATAACATATATTATATAAGATATAAACTACAAGATATAAAAGATATAAGATATAAGATATAAGATATAAGATATAAACTATAACATATAAGATATAAGATATAAGATATAAGATATAAACTATAACATATAAGATATAAGATATAAACTATAACATATAAGATATAAGATATAAGATATAAGATATAAACTATAAGATATAAACTATAAACTATAAGATATAAGATATAAACTATAACATATACTATATAAGATATAAACTATAAGATATAATATATAAGACATAAGATATAAGATGTAAGATATAAGATATAAGATATAGGATATAGTATATATTATATAACATATAGTATAAAAAAATAGTGGTAATGGTGCTTTATAGCACTTAAGTAAAAACAAAAATGAAATATAGCCAATTTTTTAAGAAAAATGAAATCTAGCCATTTTGGTAGACAAAAGTACATAATTGTCCTTGGACACAATTTTTTTAATTTTTCCCCTTTTCTTCTCTTTCGCCATCTCCCGACATTCATTTTCTTTTCTGCGAAAAATTTGAAGAAACATTTGAGAGTTTTCTTTTCATCACGTGCTCGATGAGTGAATCAATTGAAATTGCTCGGTGAGTGAATCTAGTGCCTTCTTTCATCAATTGCTTGTCCTCCTCCGGCGAATTCCGACTAATTGCTGCTCGTCCGACTCACGGGCGCTGCGCTCCTCCTCCGGCGATTTAAGGTGCGGTTACTTTATTATTATTTTGGTGTTTGTCCTCTCATCAATTTAAGTCCGTCGAGTGCTCTCCGCAAAGAGGCTCACACCCGACCTTGTCAATTTTGTTGTGTTTTTAGGCGATTTTTTAGGGTTTTTAGTAAAAATGTGTATTTGAGTCCGTCGAGTGAATCTAGGGTTTTTTTTTCCATTTTCTTACTCTGTTTTCCGAACATAAAATGGGATGTTGTTGTTCTTCAAGTTTATGTGTGTCTATGTGGGCTATGTGTGTCTATGTGCTGCTCTTCAAGTTTTGTTGTTGTTGTTTTGTATACCTCTTTCAGTGGTGACCAGCTCGACAAAGCTTAATATATAGTACATAATTTGAGGAATATATGCAAGGTTAAATAGTGAAATAATGTAGCTACAATGTAGTGTAGTATATTAATACTATATGATTCTTTGCGTCACTATGTGTAGATTATATAATTAATGATAGGATATTATTTTTTTGATTGAGAGTTTGACCCGGATTATTGAGATAAGTTAAGCAAAAAACCAAGATCTTTTAATTACTAGTTAGAATCCACTATTATATATATCCATTTTTTTTTTTTTTTTTTAAAATATGTACCATTCTAATTTGGAGATACCATCAAGTGAGATAAAGCAATATCATCACCCACATTTTCTTGTTGATGATGATGCACCGCTCCTCGAGAATTTAAGTTTTCTTATGAATTAGCAATCGATCGACATGGCTTACATGACAACAAGGAAATAAAAAAATAAAATAAAAATATGTTATAATGTACTAATGCATTTATCAAACATATAAAATATAATGATTACCTCTTTCAACGATTTTGATTTTTTGAACTTCCCAACATGTTTTTCGATCCAACTCTTTGGCCACTTTGTTCTCCTTCTCCCATCCTTTTTTTTCAAGCCTTTCATATATTCAATTTTATCACCTATGTTGGACGAAGGAACTTCATTTGCTATCTCATTTTTTGTTGTAAAAGAAAAAATTTACTTATTACAATCATTCACCATTCACTCCATGCAACTTCGTGTCACTTCATGGGCGGAAGCTTGAAGTGTCATCCGTAAGAGTTGAGATTGAAGCCTTTGGACCCATTCTCTAACATCTTCTACACCATCAATTTTTTCTTTGTTCAAGCTTTGGGCACTTTTCACGCCTTTTGTCCACCTTGCCAATATGTCCTTTTGTGGAATGCAAATCACATCCTGAATAATAGATACTTTTAAGATATGACAACACAATATTCCCATAATTTCGAACTTTCTACAACTACAAACGACCCAATCTTTTGAAGGATCAAAGAGTACGTTCATCTCATTTTCTCTTGAACCATGAAGACAAACCACATATTCATGCGGACATTGAGCCTCATTTTTCTTTTTTATCACCACTCTTAAAGCAGCACGAAGTTCAATCTGGAAAAGTGTGAAAATCTCAGGAGTGTACAACTGTGACACTTGCATCAACAACAAAGAATCATACGATTCAAGTGGAGGTATCTTCTGTCTCGCATCAAAGTCGGCTTTAAGCTCCCGCTCTCTTTTTTCATCCACGACCCTATCAAATTGTTTGAAAAAATCAGAAATATTCATATCACATTTTAAATAGGATTTCAAATCACTATTCAAACTCTCACTCAGTTGAGTGCTTCTTATTCCCAAGGTAAACGCATACTTCATGTAACACTTGGCCCACTTCTCTTTCAACCCATATGTACGCGATAGCCATTCATTATCGTGCAAATCATAATTATCAAGTAATTTTTTCCATTCTCTTTCAAAATCATCCTCTTCTGAATATTCAAACATACATACACCTCTGAAACTCCGTTAATAATGAAGAGCCGTCTTTCATGCGCCAACCCAAGTGTTTGATTCCATTTTGATTCAAGTGCCACGTGCATAGCCCGTGTCGTGTATTTTTCAATACTTTTGTCAAAGCATTCGTCATAGCCGCATCTTGATCTATAAAAATGGTTTGCGGCTCTTTACCTCCATGAGCATTCAAGAACGTTTCAAAAATCCAAGCAAACGAATCAGCTGTCTCATCATACAAAAGTGCACCACCAAAAATTACCATTTGTCTGTGATGATTAAATCCCATGAACACACCCAAGGGCCTCAATTTTTTATTTGTGCCATGAGTGGTGTCAAATGTAATTACATCCCCAAAATCACCATAATCAACAATCATCCTCGAATCTGCCCAAAATATATTAGTGACTAATTCATCACTATCAAATTGCATAGAATAAAAAAATGAAGGATCTTTACGTTTTCTCTGTTCAAAGTATCGTATAATACTTCCCAACTCACCATACACCATGTTTTTTTCTCTTTTCGAGCGCAAATAAGTCCTTTGATCTTCCAATATGTATCCAACTTTATCCCAACCTTCTGCTTCTCTAATTCTCAAGTGGTGTGTTGCTTTTGGGGTGAGTCCGACATCATGTGCTAAATCAATAGCAGCGGCAGCGGCTCGGCTCACTTGCCTATGCGATCTCAACATATGACTCGTTTTCGGTGGCTCAAGTTCATGATTATGTTCTGCACCGAATTCTTTAATCTTGTACTTTCTAATCGACCTCTCCAAAACTACATTAAACTTAGCCTTGCACGATGTTCTTTCTTCCCATCGATGGATGACTCCCACCCTCCTTTTATCTTCAACTCTTTTACCCTCCTTTCGACAAACAAAAACTGCGTTATTATATACCCCATCCTTTTGGCTTTTGTTGCGATAATTTATTCTAACCCCAAATCCCATCAGCTTCCCATAATTTTGCCAACAATCCCATGCTTCATCAAGAGTATTAAAAATCATTCCAACTCTTGGTTCTTCGTTTGATATCCGATCACTACTTATAGAGTTACCATGCATTGCATCATCTACAATTTCCTTGTCAACATTTGTAGAATTCTCAAAAACGACATCTTCCTCACAATCAGCAGAACTTAAGTTTCTCCTACATATAAGCATAAGAACATAGAATTTTAGTAAAATATAAAATATAAAAAAAATACCCAATACAAACACATATATTAATTATGCCATCAGTTAAACACAAAAATAATAAATTAGAATCAAATTTCTTTCACCCATCACCTAAGCAAAACAAATTATTCAACCATCCAAGTACATTACAATGAAAAAACAAAAACAAAGAAATGAAATTTGAAAAACTTACTCTGTAGGGTTTTTCTTTTTAGGCTCCATCTTTCTATCAATTTCATGAAAAATATCATTTTCTAATATTGGGTCCAAACACATTGAATCAATTTCGATATTTTTTTCTGACCAAATTTCTTCATCATGTTGCTCCGCCATGTTTGTACTATTTTTTTCTTCTTGAAGCAGCTCAGCGTGTTCCCCTAATAAGGGTTGGACTTTGTAGTGGGGTAATGACTTTATCAATTATAAAAATATTTTATTCATCATTTGCTTACAACCCTTGGATCTATTTTAATTTTAATATGATCCAATGGCCCAAAATTAACAGCTGGGACTGCTGTAAGTTAGTCACAGCAGCCCCCCAACCCAAATTTTGATCCATCTCACATTTTCACACTTTCACTCGCACCCTTATCCTATCATCTTCTCTACTCCTCTCTCCCTCCCTCTCTCTCAGATTCAGTATGGCTTGTTGGACGCCGTCCTCTGCTATCCTCCGCCCTTCGCCCCACTCGCCGCCCTCCACCGCGTACCCCGCGCTCCCATCCGCCGCCTCGTTCCCCAGACAGCACCTTGAGTTCCCCCTCAAACCATCCGCCGCCAAACGCTTCCGCCGCCCCCTCCGCACGCTGGCCGCCGTGGACGCTCCCGAGAAGGTCGTCCAGCTCGGAGACGAGATCGCGGGATTGACTCTCGCCGACGCGCAGAAGCTCGTCGAGTACCTCCAGGACAAGCTCGGCGTCTCCGCCGCGTCCTTCGCCCCGGTTGCCGCCGCCGCCGCCGCTCCGGCCGCGGCAGAGGCGGCCGCGGCCGTTGAGGAGAAGACGGAGTTCGACGTCGTCATCGAGGATGTGCCAAGCAACGCCAGGATCCCGACGATTAAGGTAGTTAGGGCTTTGACCAGCCTGGCGTTGAAGGAGGCAAAGGAATTGATCGAAGGGCTGCCGAAGAAGTTCAAGGAAGCGGTGTCGAAGGACGAGGCCGAGGAGGCCAAGAAGCAGCTCGAGGCGGCTGGCGCCAAGATCGCCATTGTATAAGATCCCGGCATACACTACGGTAATTTGTTCTGAAAATTGAAGGCGTATTTGGTCTGTATTGATTTTGTAGTTGTAGATCCATTTATGATGTGAAGTTTGAATCAGCTAAAGTGTTTAACCCCAATGGAGTTTGTGCTTGGAATTAAAAGTTATTTGGATTCAAAATGGTGTCAAATTCCTTCCTTATCTCGCTGTAGTTCAATCTTTGGATAATCCAGTTGAAATGATGAATGAATGGATTACAAACACAGGTAATTCCTTATGATTGGATGGATCTCACATACTCAAGGATTTTCTTTTTTCATATTGCTGTGGTCTGTCTAAGTACTCTCTACTATATCCTCAGTCTAAGTCATTCTTTCCTCTTAATTCCATCACGCCTTCATTGCCCACCTTTTATTTTTGCTACACTTGCCCTTCCTTAATTTTTTCTCTCTTTTTTGAAAACGTAAAAGTCCATGCTTAGATATAAACAAACTAGTATTCAATCTCAAATAATAATTTATATGTTATATGTGTGTGAATATAATGTTTGAAGTCATGAGTTAGATAATTTTTCTGATGGAGTGAATTTTTCCAAAAGCGTGGACTTTATTCTTGCCGCCCTTAAGCTCAACCTACATAAGATTCAGGAAAATAATTAAACTAGCTCATATTGTATAAAACTTGCAGATCAGTGAGATTTCATTACGCTCATCGGATATAAATATCGAGATAAGTATCACAAGCTAAAGGAGCTAAGCATGCATTAAACATTTCCCAAATCACATAACTAAAAAGCGAACCTCAGATTTTATTGTAATTAATCATTCATCAATATATTTTTCCACTTTCTTGTCCATTTCGCCTATATATACTGCTCCCAAAATCATACTCCGAAAACCATACTCCCTACCCAGAGAAAAAGTTCAAGAAAATGAACAAATTTTTCGGCACTAAGGCAGGTTTACAACAAATGTCTGAACGAGTACACCCTGGCAATGGACCTGCTGATCAGAGCCAAAAGGAGCGTGCAAAATGTCAAGGTGAAACAGGTGAGAGAGCTTACCCGTGATGCCTCGTCAGCAGTCGAATCGTGCAACCAGGCGCTGACTAGGCAGTGGCAGGACATGTCGGGACTTTCGGAGGATAATCACAAGTTTTACTACCTTAATGGCATCTTGTTGGTCATATGTAATGCCTTGAAGGGCAGGAAGTAGATGATTATGACAGTGTGAGGAAATAAATAATGAAACTTTTGGTACTCAACATCTATCCTTAAAAATATGAAATTATGAATATCCGATATTTGAAATTTTGAAAGATGTATGAAACAGAGTAGAAAAACCCTGCCTATTTATTTACCGAGCTCTCCTTTTCTGATGGAGTGAATTTTTCCAAAAGCGAGCCTAAAGCTTCTTCGTCGTTCTCCATTGAAGTCTCTGACAATCGCTTCACACTCTAGCGCTAAAGTTTGAGAAATCTGAAAGAATACCCAAAACACAACCAAAGCCCCTAAAAAACGTCTGCAACAAGGCTAAACCCGATCGAACCCCCTGCCCTCAATAACCCTAGCTACCGAATTATTACACAACTATCTCCTATCGATCCCACAACCCTCTTGCACTACCTAGCATAATAGGTTTGCAAGATAAGATAAACTCTCACCAAAAGAGAAGAAAACTCCCAGAAAAGAGAAGAGAACTCCCATACGAAAGAAAAGAAAACACATACATACTGTATTGACTCCTAAAATATTGCAAAAATACTAACCGAAAAACTTATTTGCACATCTACCTAACTAAACATGTATATTTAATCAGGGAGCCGTCTGTATTTAGTTTAACCCATCCCGTCGGGGGCATGCTCCACGCAATCCAACATAGTTGTCTTCCCACACCCAACCCGCCTAATCTCTGCTCAACGGGCACAGCCATGTCGATGCTACTAACCATTTTGTCCACCTCCTTAACTTTCTTTGGAACAACAAAGTCCCAATCAGCAAACAAAACCTCATTACGGCCACTCCAGATTTTCCAAGCCCTAACTCCAAACAAAGTTTCCCAGCCCTCTACATGGACATGCAACTGATTTTGTAAATTGAGCACCAGCCATTCTATGCGACTTAGGCTAAAAAACTTGATATGAAATTGAGTTGGTAGTAATTGGCGCCAGACCTGTTCAGCTCCGGTACAATCCCGAAGCGCATGCAATGTGGATTCGTCTGCCCGACCACATAACGTGCAGATAGACGAGCCTGTTAAGTGGCGACGAGTCCTTTCCATGTTCGTCAATAGCCTATCTTGTGCCGCAAGCCAAAGAAACTGTCGTACACGTTGAGGGCCCACCCATTGCCAAATAGACTTCCATAATGTACGGTTAGTCGTCGGCTCCAGTGGGAACAAAGAAGCATACGCTGACTTCATAGTAAAGCGGCCATTTTCAGTAGATTGAATCATCCTCGTGTTGACGGTTTGGAGGCAAAATTGAGGCGATGCGCAGCAACACTCTAGCCGGCAGAATGTTCGCGAATAAACTCCAATTCCAGGCCCCCGACTCACTCACAAAAATCACCACTGGCAGCTCCCATTGGTCCTCCGGGATCGGACCTGTCGCCAAGGCATATAACGGCATTGACTGGTGAAGCCATTTATCCCGCCAAAACCTCGCCCTCCTGCCATTTCCAATTGACCATCTGATCCCTTTTGAGAGCGCCGACCACACTTTGCCGATTGCCCAAAGCACCATGGAGCCCTTGGGAAAAATAAAATCATCCCCCATCGAATGTATAGAGAGCTTATATTTCGCCAATAGTAGTTGAACCCATAAGGTGTCCAGTTTCGTCAAAAGTGTCCAGCCCAGCTTCATAATTAACGCCATATTCATCTCTCTTTGTCGCTTCAAACCGAATCCTCCGGACTCTTTACTTTGACATACCGTCTCCCAAGGCACAAGGGGTATTTTACGTTGAGTTCGACTTCCTCCCCACAAAAAGGTTCGACACCGTTTCTCCAGTTGCTCACAAATTGAGCCTGGAAGCCACGCCGTCTGCATGGTATAATAAGGGAGTGTGCTCACAACCGACTGAGTCAAGACACATCTCCCAGCCAAGGATAAGGAACTGGCCGTCCACCCCGCCAGTCGACTATCAACTTGTGCCACGATATTTTCGTAGGTTTGTGAAGTGACACGACCATGGATAAGGGGAACTCCAAGATATTTCCCAAGACAGTCAACCACATTAAACCGCATCAAATCAGCTAAGTGTTGTTGGCGCTCCTGTGGGACATTTTTCGAGAAAAATACAGTCGTTTCAGATTGACTTACTCTTAGGCCAGATTCGGCGCAAAAGTCCTCGAGGACATTCTTGATTAAATTCGCTTGGTCATCTGAGGCTTTAAGGAAGAGTAATAGATCGTCGACAAACATTAAATACGGAACCTGGACCGCCCCATTACCGACGTGGATCGGTCTCCACAGACCACCGTTAACCCGAGATTGGATCAAATGAGCAAGTCTCTCAATGCAAATCACAAATAAATAGGGCGACATGGGGTCCCCTTGGCGCACACCTCGAGATGGTAGAAACACATCACTACTCTCCCCATTAAATTGGAGCTGCATGGAGGCTGAGGTAACACATGCCATTATAGTTCGCACCATATTTCCTGGGAGCCCGGCAATTCGTAGAGAGTCTTCAATAAAGTCCCATCTCAAGAAGTCGTAGGCTTTTTCCAGATCCACTTTAATCACCATAAATCCCTTGCGACCTGTTTTGGTCCGCATAGAATGAATGAGCTCTTGAGCGACCACTATATTATCCGTAATTTGGCGTCCTGAAACAAAGCTCGACTGAGCGTGGCCTATTAATCGAGGAAGGACTGGTTTGATTCTATTCACGAGTACCTTAGTAATGATCTTGTAGACTACATTGAGGAGGCTAATCGGTCGGAACTGGTGAATCGATTTAGGGTTCTCAACCTTAGGGATAATCACAAGAAGAGGTTTATTCAACTCCTCGGGCACAACCCCAGTCCTAAACACGCCCCGAATGAGATCACAGACTTTCGGTCCAACATTCTCCCATTGTCGTTGAAAGAACATTGCGTGGAGTCCATCCGGGCCTGGGGCTTTGAGTGGGTGCATCTTGTTCAACGCATGCAGGATCTCCGAGTCTGCCACTTCACGTGTCATAGGACTCAAGAGCCGATCATCAAGTAAAGGAAAGAAATTTGGTATGTTCTTCGGTTGAGTATTCCCATCCACGGTATAAATCCCTCGAAAGTAATCTACAGCAATAGCTTTCATTTCATTCTGGTCAGCGGTCCGATTTCCATTTGAGTCGGTAAGGAGCAACACTTTATTGCGACTACGACGGTTTTTCACTTGACGGTGGTAGTAAGTTGTGTTTCTATCTCCAAAAAGTACCCAGTCCCTCGTAGACTTCTGGAACATTAATAGTTCTTCTTGCAAAGAGACCTCCTCCAGTTCTTTGCATAGAGTCGCTTCCAGATTAGTGAGTCGTGGCGTAGTATATTTTTGTAGCTCTCTTTGTGCTCCTGCTAATCTCTTAAGGAGCCTCTTCTTCTTGGAAACTATATTCCCGAAAACATTAAAATTCCAATCGGCTGCCTTTGTCCGGAAAGAATGGGCGGCTTCAAAATAATCGCTTCCAGCCCAAGATTGACGTACGAGGTCGGAGAACTCCTCATGCAATAGCCATGCAGCGAGAAACTTAAATGGTTTCCTATTTTGTGCTGGAGCGTGATGTTCAACACACCGAACAAGGAGCGGGAAGTGGTCCGAGTTTGTGCGAGGGAGATGTCGAACTAACCCCAGTTGGAACTTATTTATCCAGGCCGAGTTCGTGATGAAACGATCTAACTTCTGCTGCAAGCCACCACGTTCCCATGTGAATAAGAATCCATAAGTACGAACCTCGTGAAGTTCGCATTCAGACAGCCACTCCGAAAACTCGTGACTCATAGTGGCACGATTAGGGGCACCACCCCGTCTTTCATCCTGCCGAAGGATGCAGTTAAAGTCTCCGCCTATAAGCCACGGGTCATTGATTCTTGATGCCAAGTGTCGTAATTCCGGCCATAGAGAGCGCCGGGTTGCGGGTCTTGGGCTCGCATAAACGAAGGTGACAAAGACTTCCAATCCATCTTTCCATACACATGTATGGATAAACTGCCGATGACATTGCAGCACCTCAACATGCACTCTCGCTTTCCATAGTGTCCATATTCCGCTAGAAAATCCAGAGGCTTCAACTCGAAAGGAACAATCAAAACCACTCCTTCGGATAAATTTATGGGCGTTCATGCGGCTTATCCTGGGCCCAAAGATAGCAAATTGATGTCCGCCATCCGACGACCTCCGCCACTTACGAGCGGAAAGGAACCGCTGCACGATTGTAGTCATCCGCTTCAGCCGCCGAAAACTGCCGGTTGCCGTGCCACTCCACCCGCCGCAGAGGATGAGACGAGAGAAGGTGGTAGGGTGGTCAATATTCGCCATTAATTGTGCTATTATTCATCGCCAAAGAAGATAACGAAGATTTACAACAATGGCGTGAAAGATTAGAGAAAATTGAATGTGGAAAGAGATATTCCATTAAATTAAATGAGGGCAGTTACCAATTGCATGCAACTACCTTAATAATTATTTTTAAAAAGGGTAAGTTAAAAATTGAGAAAATCTGGTATGTATGCAAGTATTTATGTCATATTTTGCATATTTGCAAATAAAAAATTATGTTAGTATGTAATATTTTCTGTTTTAGTTAGTGCATGAGATAATTTTCTTAAAAATAAATTATACAGGCTATTAGGATATACCTAAAATAGTAGAATGTGAGAGTCATATAAGATATATAAATGTGCACATTAAACTCTATAGAGAGAAGATGTTTTGAAGAGAATCGCGTAATTTTAAACAAAATCTCTCCAATTTGTTGATATTCTACAAGAAGTTTGTCTTCAAATTTTTGTTAAAAAAATTCTCCAAAAGCCTTTTAATTTTACAAGTCTCGTAGAGTCTGTCTACTTTGATTAACGGGTGATTTACAGTCTCTTAGAAAATTTTTCCTGCTCAAAATTTTCAGTGTTTTTAGTAAGTTTTAACTTTCCTTTTGTTTGTATTTACATCATTAAATTAGTAATAAATATTATAGTATTTATAAAAAAAACTATAACGTTTATACTTTACAACTTTACTTAATTATGCGTTTTGTTATTTTTGTAAATGATAAGTAATATTATATTCTGATGTAATTGTTCAGTATTACTACTACATATCTCTTATTTTAGTTGAAAATTTTAAAATTTGTAGTTTAAGTTATTTCTACTTAATTTTAACAATCTTGAATAGTACAACAAAATTGAATTTCAAGACAATTATTTTGAAGGAATATGTAGATTTCGAATTTATTTTAAGAAATAAATTTATAAAAATAAACCATAATCCTATTAATTATTTTTTTATTTTTTCTTTGTAGGAATTCCATTATTAATTTGATGCAGTTCTATATGTAGCACAAAAGATCCCATCTGAATTTAGTTTAAGAATGTAAATTTATATTAGTTTTATCAAGTTATGTTATTTTTATCATTTTTCATTTTAATTTGAATTTGTAATTATTTTTGTGTACACTAATGGTACAAATTAGTCTGTTGATTCAACGTAATTGTTTTTTTGTTTTTTTAGTGCTAAAAAAATTACAATGATGTGAATGTATCTTATAAGTTAGTTGTGATATTTTATAATGATCAAATTTTTAATAACAAAAATACTAAACATATAAGTATCAAATTATACTTGAACCATCATTAGATGAAATAATCTAACTGTACATGCATTTTATTATATTATTATATTATTAATGTAATTAATACGACAATTGTCTTCAAAAATTAACATGTACTATATAAAATTCATATTGTCTATTTTAAATTCATATTATTATTTTTACTTTATTATTATTATTATTATTATATAACATTATATTATTTATTCTATACATATAATAATTATCCATAAAATATGTTAAATTTCACATTTATATTTTTTTACAGAAACCTAAAATTTCAGCTAGTAGTTAATGTAACAATTTAACTACAAATATGATAAATATTATTAAATAACTTTTTATTTTAGTTGCTATTTCTAAATATAAAGTTTATATTATTTTTTATGTAATATCTGCATATACACATAATAGATTACTAGTTGATTATGCTGACATAACAAATCCTTTAAAATAGCGTTAACAATTGCTATAATAGCAATAATTTAATATTTTATCACTAATTAATTGGTCACAACCCTTTAAATTTTAAAAGTTACATTATTCATTATTTTTATGCAATTTATGTAGCTATTCATATATAAGTAAAATAATTTATAATTATATCGTTCATTATTATTAATTATTAAAATTTTTGAATGTGTATTCCAATTATATAACTTATAACTTTAAATATAATATATATATATATATACACACACAGTAGAATCTCTATAAGAAAATACTTGGTAAATTAATAATCTCTATAGAATTTTTTTTTTCTCCCAGTCCCGACTTGAGCCAATGTAAAAAATTGTAAACTTTAATAAAATAATAAGCTATAATTTGTAGAAAGACCCCTTTACAATTATAGTCCCATTAAATCATAAAATAATAATTCTCTAAAATTACAAATATAAATAAGGCAATTTAGTAAAATATGAATCTATTGTTTTTTGCTTCGTTCAGTGAAATAGCCCACAAGGTAATATCACCAAGTCTTATCCCAAAATCTTTGTACACAGAACCAATCACTAGTTCCCAACCATGGGGTGAATGAAATCCGATAAATAAATCGGTGAATAAAAGAATAATAAAAAAAAAGGCTAGAAATTCAAATCTAAATTGATTTCATCCTTAATTTTTCTCATTGCATTCAAAAGCTCTGGTGTCATACTCTCAAGCTGCAACAAAAAGTTGTGAAGAGTTGTGGTTGCCATTAGTGTTTCCTTCTGTGTGATTGGTTTTAAAGGTACTGAATCATCAACTTCATCCTCAACAGAATTTTCAATGACACTTCTACAATTTCTTATAAGCTTTGGACCTCTGAACATCCATCATTATCACCTGGGTAATCTGATAAGTGATTGGCATCCATTTTGTTGTGATAACCCATATCATTAATCATTTTCTCAAGTTCACAAATGTTTTCTTCAAAAGCCACTTCATTAGAGCTACTTAAGGTTGCTTCATCATCCGAACAAATTTTGCAATGTCGGAAACAATTTGCTATTGTCTCTTGTTGGACATTTATCGTCCAAGCTGATACTGCAAAAATGATGACATCTAAAACATTAATCTTTTTTGGATCAGATTGTCCAATCTCAAAGCTTTCCAATATCTTCTGGTAAAATCGCTTGCAGTAATACATCTTGAAATTTCTTATTATCTCAGCGTCACATGGTTGGATTTTGATGTCATGTTAGNTATTTTTGGTATGGTTCTGGAGATTCATAAAATATCCGTACCGAGAACCGAACCGAACCGAAAATAACAGTACCGAACCGAGGAACCGAACAAGAACCGATTCCAATTCATAAAATCCATATATATATATATATATATATATATATATTTCTTATATTTTATCATATGTATTTTTTTCATCTTTGTACATAACTGTATTCAAATAAAATCTATTACAATTCATATGTATTGTACATAATTGAAAATAAAAATAAATTAATATATTCTTCATATTACAAAATTTGATAGCCAACATGTCAAATATTTTATTAAAAAAATCATTAAATATAACTTAATATTATTTGAATTCCGAATGTTTGGTAAACCGACCTTTATGAAGTAAGTCTTTCACAAAACTTAGAGAAAAATTATTTATTTCAAGGTGATATATTCTAAAATAAAAATAAATTGAAATATATCTTTACCATAATATTAGATTAAGAACGGATATATCGATTATTTTATTAATAAAATTAAATATCTTCACTTTCTGAAAATAAACTTTATATGTACTATACCCGAATCTCACGATATCGGCCGGAAGAGATTAATTTATTTGGACATAATATATTTTCAAAATATCCTTTTATTTAACAAGTAACTATCTTTAAATTGACTANTATTATTGTTCATGTATGTCTTATCACTTGCGAATTTTTTGGCATATAAAAGATTAACATATAAATCTTTCAAATTAAATTATGATATTTGCAACTAAAAGATAATTATCATTTTTTTTATAAAATAATAATAAAAAAATTAACCACCTAATCTTACTATTAATTGACCAAATATCTTTTGAAATTAAGAGAGGTTTATGATTTTCTTTCATCCATGATATGTACCATCTAACATGCAAAGAGGAGATTTTTATTAAAATAATAATAATAAAAAAAATTTTAAAAACAAAAAAATTAAAAAAATTTAAAATATCTCCGAACTATCCGAAATCTCCGATCCATACCGAACTGACCCATTAGAACCGAATCTCCGAAGATTTGTTAGAAACGGTTCTGTTCCGGAGATCCTGTTTTTGGAATCTCCGAAGTTCGGTTCAGTTCTGGAGATTTCTGGATCTCCGAACTGAACCGACCCATACTCAGCCCTAGGCGCGATATTGACAATTCAAGCCATTCATATTGACATTCTTAAAGCAACGTGGCTTTGCATACTTTCCAATAATCTATAGGGGAATTTTTTCTGAGCCATCCTCATTGCAACAAATAACAATTGTAAGCCTTTCTTTGTCTTGTTTTCTCCCTTCAAGTTGCTTTGTTGCAAGAGAATGATCAGCTTGTAACCTGTAAAACAAACCAGTCTCATCCATATTGAAAACATCTTTCTTAGGAAACTGGTCTATCTTTTCCCTTATAGACTCCAATTTCTGCTCCATGTCCTGTGTGTCAATCGAACTACTTTCTCCAAAACGATGGAATGACTTGATAGCATGTCTCAGCTTGAACTTCTCAAGCCAACCTAATGTAAGGTTGTGCTTAGAAGGTTGCTGAGGGTATAAAAGTTTCACCGTCTCCTTTGCCTTCTCCAAAATTAGCTCTCCAGTAATATTCACACGGCCTTGGTATTGGAGAAACTACTCATAAATAACCTTCTCCATCTTTGAAAAATTTGTTGGTTTGTGCCGTTTAATATCCCCTCCTTTTTCTAAGTTAGCCGAAAGATACTCAGTCGATCTCTTGATAGTGTTTGATATTGTACCTTGACTAACTTTCAAATGATATTTTTCATCAAACCATTGTTATAATTCTTTTTGAGTGATTGTGGGGTGATCTCTCCTATACTCACATAATGCTTTTCGTATTTGATCAGTCATGGTTGATCTTTTAGATGAGATGCAATTGTTGGATAAGAAAACTACACCAAACATATAAAACCCTAAAACATAAACCATATATTGATAGCTACCTAATACTTGTTAACCAAGAAATTACCCTTTAATGTATTTTTGACTCTTGTACCTATAAATTTCTTTTCAAATTCTAATACTTGTTAACCAAGAAACCCCTTTCCTAATGTATTTTTTACTCTTGTACCTATAAATTTCTTTCCAAATTTAATTAAGGTTCTTTCCTAACAAGTCTACTTGCTCACCAAGTACAAACTACACTTTCCAAAATTTATATTTGCTAAATCGTGAAAGCACTTTTTAAATTAATAAGTTATTAATTTATTGATTAAACAATATCTCTCTAACAATAAAACTAGTGTATATCCCGTGCGATGCACGGAAGAGTTCATATTTTAAATATTTTTTAGACTTTATTTTAAATATAATTATTTCTATTTTTCACATCTCTTCTATTATGAAAATAAAATAAATACAATCAATGAAAAATATATAATATTAAATACTTTTCTTTATACAATATATTTTATTTAAGGAATATTATTAAACCTTACGGTTTTGATTTGTTTTTTCAAATCAATAATCCAAAATATATGATTGTTAACGTACAAAAAATAATGGAAATAATCCAGACTTTAAAGTAAAGCTATTTTTTATTATTTTACAAATAAAAATATTCCAAATTTTTTTTAATTTCAAAAAAAAATTTGGCAAGTTTGATAATGAGTTAAATCAAGTTATACAAATGATTAAATAGTTAAAATATTTTAAGAAATCCAATTATATAAAAATGGGTAAAAAAATATTATACTAATTAGTTTGTTAGGATTGTGATTATATGGAAGTTCAAATAAAATGAAATGTAACCAAAAAATTTGTTCGTGGTTTTTTCCTAAATGTTTGAATTTAAAAATCTAGTAACCAAATTTACATTATATCACGTAAGGAAAAAAATAAATAATAAATATTTATTAAAGAGATAAATCAATAATATTTATCACTTAGATAATAAATAATAAATATTTACATGTAAAAAAATAAATAATAATATATTTAAAAATATAAGTCAGAATTTCAAATAAAGTAAAAGGATGGATAACTCATTTTTAAAAAAAAGTTTCTAAATATTTAATATATTGATAAGTATCTCCATAAGAATAATTATACCATTTTAATTTTAAAAAAATTGGCAAGTTTGTTAGAGAGATAAATCCGGTTAGACAAATGATTAATTTGTTAAGATATTATATTAATTATATCATAAAAAATCGGTTGGATAATGTAGATAAAAAAATATAATACTAATTAGTTTGTTAGGAATGTGATAATGAAAACCAAGATAAAATGAAATTTACCCAAAAAACTTATTTGGAATCTTTTCCTTTAAATGTTTGAATTTACAAATTTAATACCGAAATTCTATTATATCACATAAGGAAAAAATAAATAATAAACGTTTATTAATATATTAAAATATGTAATTTTGAATTTCATATAAAATAAAAGGTATGCTTATTCAAATTTATTTTTAAAATAAAAGTTATGATAAACATTTATTGATTCTCTTTCAAATATATTTATAAAATAAAAATATAAATCTAAACAAATTTTGAAACAACTAAAAAAATCGGATTGATTGGCATAAAAAAAAGGAAGTGAAATCGGATTTGAATGCTAAAATCGGAACACCTTACCAAATTGAATGCTAAAAGATTCGATTTGATTGGTTACCTAATTGTATGGGCTGAAAAAATTCAAAAAAAAAATTTACGAATTGAAGAAGCGGGAAAAACATTATATTAAAGCGGGAAAACGAAATGATTATTTTCGCATTGTTCAAATAATTTTTCTTCTCCGTATTATATAGTAATAGATTTTATGGTCCTAACATTATTAATTTATAGAGGTTTTACTGTGACTAAATTATATTTTATTTAGATTTTTGCATATGCATAAAATTATTACTAGTCTCCAAATAAAATTAGGAAACACAACAAATTGATATATTGTGAAACTAATTAGGATTTTTAAGGACTTTTTAAGACTTTAGAAATCCTGGTGTATTCAATTTAGATTTGTTAAGACTTTTAAAAATACTGGGGTATTTAATTGGGATTTTCAAAAGTCTTACAAAATCCTGAGGTATTTAATTTTTTTGACACTAGGATTTATTAAGACTTTTTAAGATTTAGTGGGATTTCTAAACAAAAAAACCTTATATGAAATCCCACTTCAAATCTTACCTCCGGACTTGATATTTCATAGAATTCTTCCAAAATCTGAAAATCCTAGAAAGTCTCAAATCTCGAAAAGTCTTAAAATATTACTTAAATTCCGAATTGAATACACCCCCTTTAATTGTAAACTAAAGTTAAAAAAAGAAACAATGATATAATTATTAAATATTCCAAAAAATAAAAAATAGAAAAGACCGCTTTTGATCTTTCACTCCTATATTCACCTATATTTTTGTTCGTTCTCGTCTACATCATCGGCCGACTCCATACGTATATATTTAAATCAAATTCTAAAACCCCTTCCGAGGAAAAACTGAATATTGAGGTACCTTCAATTCATCTCCTAAAAGCTCCTGTTAATGTGATTTTGTTTATCTTGTTTAGTTTGATAATTCAATTTTCAATGGATATTTTCTCTCCTGTCTTTTAATAGTGAGATCGAATTCTGGTCGGAAAACGGCCAGTTCTTCCTGCAACGACCGGAACTTCGGACTGCATCACAGGTATTTTTTTTAAATACTGTGAACGGTCCTCGCTACGTTTTTCCTCTCCTTTATTGTTTGATTTGGAGAAAAAAAAAGGACGGCCATTCCTCATGCAACTGCCCAAACATTTGCAGGGTTGTGTAGGGTTGGACTGAATTGTGTTTAGGAGCACAGAAGAAGTGCTCTTGCTGTGCATCGTGTCCTTTCGATCCACTCGTTGCGCAATTTCGATTAGCTGAGCTGATGGCGACTCCAGGGGGACCTAGACCTGGCAACTTCCCCCCCAATTTCAACCCGAATTTCAATCCAAACGCGCTTGCCAACAATATGCAGAATCTGCAAGTCAATCAGCCCAGTCAGCAACAGCCTGGCGGAGGTTCCCAACCTCCCTACACCACACCCTTCGGTCAACAGCCCCGACCTTCTGCCGGTGCCCGTCCGGGCCCACCTCCTCCTCCAGTCGGGCCAAGGCCCCCGCCACCTGGTGTGTTCCCGACATCTGCCAATGGGCCCACTGCTCTCTCCCCTTCCAGGACCGGCCCTCGTCCCAGGCCCTTTCCGTCTGCCCCTCCAACTTCCGGGCCCACCACTTCACCCATAATGGGCACTCCGAATGGTCCTTCTGCCTTGGGCCCGGGAATTTCGCAAGGCGGGCCCAGATTCCCTCCCACAATGGGTAGTATGCAAAGACCACCGCCGGTTGGGCCACCTCAGCAGCCTTCGCAGATGCGTCCTAGCTATGGTGGTCAGCCTACCAGTGGATCACCGTCTCCTGCGGGGCAGCAAGCGACCCCATTTGCAGGCCCGCCGTTTGCTGTGGGGCAACAGGCACCTCCGTTTTCGGACCGAACGCCGAACGTGGGGCCTCCTCAAGGATCCTCCCAGTTTTCGGCGCCTATTCCTGGTGGGCCCCAGCCTTTGGGCTCACCATATGGCATGCAGACATGGCCAGCACAACCGAACCAGCAGGTATCGTAGTTAATTGTATGATATTACTACATTTCTTTTGGTTTGTTTGTGCAAGATTGATTGATTTTTTTTTTCGTTGTTATTTATAATCCTTGCTGATCTTGCAACTCATGCATATCATTAATAGTGGCTTGAACTGGTACATTGTCACACTACCTGATTTTACACACTCCAAATCAGATTTCTGATCCTATGCAACAGCAGCAGCCGATGTTTGGAATGCCTCCAGGTGGGCAACAACCTCCAAATCAATCTATGTCTATGGGTCAAACAGGACAAACTAACATTGATCCAGGCCAGATTCCCAGCCTCACGCCAACAGGTTCTGCTGTAATTTTGCACGAGACCCGACAGGGAAATCAGGCAAACCCTCCTCAGGTAATTAGTTGATTTCTCGTGTTTTGTGTGGGTGGTTTTTTGGCAGTCTGTTATATTCTAAGTTAATGTCATGGAACACGTTTATTTTCTTGCTAAATACATATTTCACTCATGACATTGATGTGTCAGATTTCCCTTATTCTTTGTTTTATCTTTTCTTGTCAAGCCTGCAACAAGTGACTATATAGTAACAGACACTGGAAATTGCAGTCCACGCTACATGAGGTGTACTACAAACCAGGTTAAGTATCCAATTACCATCCCTTTCTTCCTCCTCTTTTNAATTCCTTTCAAGTGTTAATGGCATTGTTGTAGTTGCAAATAACAAATGTGTTCATTTGTTTGTTAGATTCCATGTACTGTAGACCTTCTGTCGACATCGGCGATACAGTTGGCTTTATTGGTCCAGCCTTTAGCTCTTCCACATCCGTCCGAGGAACTCATCCATGTATGAAAGATTCTGTTTCCTTTACTTTTTCTCTTGCTCTCTTCTGGTTGAATAAATGTTATAACTCTCTTTCTATAAGTTAAGTTCTTAGTCACACAACTCCAGAATTGACTGTGACACAATCCACACTAAATTTTCTATATTTCATGTCATGTGCACGTCCTTTTGTTAATATCTTCATTCGAGCTGAACTGCAAAACGTGACTTGCATTATGATGCTTTCTAGGTTGTTGATTTTGGGGAAAGTGGTCCCGTCAGGTGTTCTCGCTGCAAAGGTTACATAAACCCATTCGTAAAGTTTATTGACCAAGGAAGACGATTCATTTGCAACTTGTGTGGTAAGGATACCCCTTTATGCTTCTTTTTTGGCAATGTTATGCAGTTTATTTTTTTTTTATTTTTTGGCTGGGGAGTTGCACTAGTGGGTTCAATGTCCATGGAGTTCACACATGTTTTTTCCTTCTTTCTCTGTTTCTTTCAGTGAAACATGTGAAGAAATAATAACTACAAAATAAACTGCAAACTAATGATCCTTAAACGTGCTACTCAGTCCTTTCGATATTGCCATTTGTAACGCATCTTTCTTTGATGCATTACTGGGTCTTAACTATTGGCTTTTTATAACTTCTAGTGCCATATAATTATGGGCCCCCATCTTTTCACAATTTGTTATTACGTTTGACTTTACAGGATTTACAGATGAAACTCCACGTGACTATCACTGCAACTTAGGTCCTGATGGCCGGCGCAGAGATGCTGATGATAGACCTGAGCTATGCAGAGGAACAGTTGAATTTGTGGCTACCAAGGAATACATGGTGAGTGCTATGTTAGACCTAGACTTGAATCTGTCATAAGATTAATTATTCAATACAGAAGGGAGTTATTAGGACATTAGAGTTGGAATGTTATGAAAGATAGAATGAAGCTATCAGCATATTTGCACATGGTTTGATCGAGAGGTTTCAGGATTAGGGGTCTATAGGATCCGTTGTACCTTATGAGGAAATTTTCTCAGCACTGCAAGGCATGGGCTCGCTTAAAGCTCCAGGTATGGATGGGTTGCACGCCCTCTTCTACAAACAGAACTGGGAGATGGTTGGTCCTTCGGTGTTGGTGGATGTTGTTTTTGAGTATCCTTTTTTTTTAAAAAAAAAATGTCCTTGCATGATAACCATGATGATATATTTATGTCTCAGTGTTTCCAATAATCTTGGTAATGATTCTCTATGTGGGGTCTGTATACCATAAGAAATTCCTTCCTAAAAATTTGCCAAGCAGAAATTGATGTTGAAATGTTCTTTGTCTGTGTGGGAAGATCATTTCAAGCTTTTTGAAGTTGTTTAAACCCTACTTATGTCAGATGTGTTTATGCATTCCAGAATGAAGTGATCTGTTCTTGTTTCAAGTGAAGCTCTCAATAACCCTAGCATTTTAGCAGTCTTCTGCGTACATACAATTCTTGATCTTGTAAATTTTTTGTTGCATGGGTGTGTGATTGGATTGGGGTGACAGANCCCCTTTTGTACTTTATTATTAGATAAAATACATCTCTTTTGATTCTTGCATTTCTGATGTGCTTTATGAGCTATTTAAATATTTCAGCTGCGGGATCCAATGCCTGCTGTATTTTTCTTCCTTATTGATGTATCCATGAATGCCATACAAACTGGTGCAACCGCTGCAGCTTGCACTGCAATCAACCAAGTTATAGATGATCTTCCTGTAAGTTTATGCGTGGTTTCTTAAAGCTATTAACATTTAATTCAAGAAATTTCTGCAAAGCTAATGGTCCCTTATGAACTCAATTACTGTATGATTTTCTTCTTCGTATGTGAACTGCCTGTGGTGTATTTTTTCCGATTTTAGAATGTATGCAAGGAACGAAAATAGAATCTTTAGCTTGAGTGCTGCTGTTTATAAGTGAAATTAGAACTATAAATTCCGTCTATAAGTTCTTTTGACCTTGATGGTTCCTAAATAGTGATACAATATGGATTTTGAGTTTAGGTAATTTTGTATTAGAGTTATTTAATTTTAATCTGCATAGGTGATAGACTTTTAGCCACGCTAATGCTGGCTCTGGTAATATGTTACTATGAGTTTCTTGCACATGAAATTGATTTTCCACTTAGCCACTGTGGAGTTCTTTGTTTATTGAGCTATCAGAAAGGGGATCTATTAATTTGGATGAGTGATCCGTGACTTGCAGAAGGGTCCTCGAACCATGGTGGGCATTGCTACATTTGACTCTACCATCCACTTTTACAACCTAAAACGAGCTTCACAGCAGGTTGGTGGATAAATACTAGCTTTGGTGACACATTATTTTATTTATTTATTTATTGCTTTATCTGGAACATGATCATGTGCAAACACCTCTAGGCTTTCTATGTTGATCATCTCAAGCGAAGTACAGTGTTTCACTGTACAAGTACTTGCAATGCTGGGTGCTAACTTTCATTTTATTTTTCTGTATCCTTTCAGCCGTTAATGCTTATTGTTCCTGATGTTCAAGATGTATACACTCCTCTTGAAAGTGATGTTATTGTTCAACTTGATGAGGTTGGTAGTCATTCTTTTTTCAGCTTGGTCCCTAGGAGAGCAGCTTGTTGACTTTCCACCCTATAATATATTTTTTCCTTTTAAGGCCAGAGATTGATGAAAGGATCAGTTGCAGGGAATTAATGTGTTTGCTTATGTCACAATTTCCCCAAGTTGTGTAAAATCGCTTTTCTTTTCTAACTGCAGTGCCGCCAGCATTTGGAGGTATTACTAGAAAGCATTCCTACAATGTTTGAGAGTAATAGAATTGCTGATTCAGCTTGTTGTGCTGCAGTAAAGGTATGGGCACAAAATGTTTTTTCATGTCGTGTGTTCACAATTTGATGACGCATTATTTCTATCAGTCATATATATTCAGCCGAATTTAGTTATGGGAAATGAAGCCTTAGTACATAGTGTAAATAAAAATGATCGATTGTTGTGATTGGCAATTAGGGAGTAACTTTTTCTATATTGGGATATTTTTTCTGCATATGTTTTATAGGAACACGAAGGAAGAGCTTCTACTATGTATATTGTATAAGATTATTAATCATGCTTTTATGTCAATCTAAATACACCGAATATATTGATTCTTGTTGCTTGATCAAGGAGACTGTCATTTAGGCTGTTTGGTTCCCTTACCCTAGAAACAAGTTTCCGCTTTCCCAAAGCATCCCCTAATCAGTAACCAGACACACCTCACAGTTGCTTAATCACCTTAATTACTATGTTTGTTGATTTCTTACCAGACTAGTTGAGATTAATTCATTCTTATACTTTTTTTCTTATTTAGGCAGCTTTCTTGGCAATGAAAAGCACTGGCGGCAAACTGCTTGTCTTCCAATCCAGTAAGTTGACAAATGCAGAAATGTTTGTTGTCTATGTAGAACACATTCACATGCATGGAAGCTACCCTTTTTTTTTTTTTTTTTNTATCATGTTAAACTAGACCATGTGCCGTTTGAGTTGTTTTGTGCACGTAAGGATAGGATTAGCCTACATTGGCTGCATATCTGTTGTCTGTATATATGATATATTAAGTGTTCACTTGGGCTTTCTGTGTTTTTGCTACTTTAAATCTCATTAACAGAATTGTTAGTTCCCACTGCCAAATTTAGTCAATTTTCCCTTATCACTATTATAATGGTGAGTTATGAATTGCAGCATTGCCATCAACTGGTATTGTATCCCTTTCTGCTAGAGAAGCAGAAGGCAGAAGCAACACATCAGCTGCAGAAAAGGTATAAATGCGGCATATCAGAGTATAATAATTCCCTACCCTTGTTGTTTGATTACTCTTCATTTATACTGTATATCTTTTGGATATACGGTTTATTATATGAAAAAGATAACTTTCATTATTGGAGAGATGGAGAATGAATGTTGAGCTCCATGACCTGGTGCAATCCAATTAGCCTTGACAATCTCTTTCATTGGTTTTTGTTAAGCTTCCTCTCATGTATCTGCAGATTTTTATAATTCAACCTTTGAATATGAATGTGACAATACAGTGTGAGTTTTAGTTCTTTCTTTCCTTGAGTCGCTCAAAACTTGAATCACTTGTTACTGGGAGTGCATTGTAAAATATTATTGTGCATTTTATTTGATTTTTTATCATCCAATGTTGTTTTGTATAGGCAGATTTTAGTTCTGTTGTCATAATAAAACACTCCACGAATATTGTATATAGATATATTGGTCTGCTCATCCATTATGGATATTTCTTCAAGTGCTCTTGTCAGTTAGATGTGAGATTAGAATATTGGTGTTTAATCCTTAATAGAATTTGTATTCTGGGAGCTTAACTGCAATGGTTGGGTTTCAGGAGGCTCACAAATTACTCCAACCGACTGACCAAAATTTGAAAACTATGGCCATTGAGTTCGCAGAGTATCAGGTGACATTTAATAATTCTTTGGGTACCCAAAATCTTGCGCCTTTTTTTTTTTTTAACTGGTATTAATTTTAATGTATGTTGTAAGTTATTGTTTCTTGACACTTACAGGTCTGTATCGACTTGTTCATTACAACACAATCATATGTCGATATAGCTTCTCTCTCTCTTTTTTTTAACTGGTATTAATTTTAATGTATGTTGTAATTTATTGTTTCATGACACTTACAGGTCTGTATTGACTTGTTCATTACAACACAATCGTATGTCGATATAGCTTCTCTCTCTGTCTTTCCAAGAACTACTGGAGGCCAGGTAATTATTTATCATAGTGTATAATAAGGTGACCTTATGATATGGTGAAATGTTATATTCTATTTTCTATGACCATTTTGGCTTTAGATGTCTGACTTGCAAATAGCACATGACTTTATTTTCTTTACATTGTTGTTATATCAAGCTCAGTTTTAATGGTTTTATTGTCCAGGTTTACTACTATTACCCTTTCTCTGCTCTTTCCGATACTGCTAAGCTTTACAATGATCTCCGCTGGAATGTCACAAGGCCACAAGGATTTGAAGCTGTGATGCGTGTTAGATGCAGCCAGGTTCCTTCTTTTCGTAGACTTTCTTACCTTCTTATTTTTAGAAACTCTTGAAGTTGTAAGGCTGCTTGTTTGACAAGTGACTTTTATCACTAGTTTATCTCTTATGTTTTACTTGTGTAGGGTATTCAAGTTCAGGAATATTCTGGAAACTTCTGTCGGCGCATACCAACGGATGTTGACTTACCTGCGGTATTTTATCTCTATTTTGTTGTGCTTAAGGGATATATTGTTACATCAGAAACATAATGTATAGACAAATTTTTATTACATTTATAGAAAATTATTATTATAAATTTCACTAAGAAAGGTTCTCTAAACTTCTACCTTTCTCTTTTTTTTTTAAAAAAAAAAAATTGTGAATTCGACATGATTGCAGTCGTATGTAGTACGGCGTACATTTATCCTTAAAAGGATTTTGTTATTATGTTTATGGTCACATACATATACATGTCTTAATGTTGACTGCTGGGGCAAACATGCTTGCTCGTCATTTTCCTCAGATTGATTGTGACAAAACAATAATGGTGACACTGAAACACGATGACAAGTTACCAGAAGGTTCTGAGTGTTCATTCCAGGTAACACTTACATTTTATCAAATTGCCCTTGTTCTTGAAGAGATTGTCTATCTAATCACATTCTATGTTTATTTTTGTCTAGTGTGCCCTTCTATACACCACTATATACGGACAAAGAAGAATCCGGGTTTCTACCTTGTCACTGCCTTGCACCAACATGTTAAGTGACTTGTTCCGGGCGGCTGACTTGGACACCCAGTTTGCCTGCATGTTAAAGCAAGGTACTTTGGTGTTATATATTTAATTTGTTATTTGCAGTTAAGGCTGTAATTATTGCCTTTTTGGCCACAACAACAAATATTACGTAATATGGTCTCTATAGCTAATTCTCTTTATCCTAACCCTATGATTCTTTTTTTTTTTCAGTACATTTGATATGATTATTGCAATGTGGGTATATATGTCATTTAGTTTTGTACTAAATGCTATTTTGTCCTACCATGTTTACTCTCTCTTTGTTCATGTGACAGTTGCTGCTGAAATTCCTTCAGCTTCTCTTACACAAGTGAGTGAACAAGCTACGAATGCTTGCATCAACATCTTGTACTCTTACCGCAAGTTTTGTGCTACTGGTTCATCTTCCGGACAGCTTCTTCTGCCCGAGGCACTTAAATTGTTGCCTCTATATACACTTGGTACATCAAGTTTCTCATGTGTTGTCATTTTTTTTTTAGCTTCCTCGAATTAATGATAATCTATGTTCATATTACACTTATTTTTGCAAGTAGCGAGAAAAAGAATAAGGTATTAATTTGTGAGAGGGAACATATAGGATAGGGTTCAAACAAAAGCAAGTTGGTGTCAGTACCATATATGTTGCTATTTTTAATTGTATATGGTGCTATCATTTATACATTATGCTATTATATATAGTGTTGATAGTTTTGAATAATTCCTAATTAAAAATGGCAACAAATGCATTAAAAAATAGCATTACACACAATTAAAAATAGTGTTCTCACGGTCCGGACAGCTTTCTTAACAGCTAATGCATTACAGAGTTTTTTCTCTTTTCATTGATGAGCAAGAATTTAATTCGACTTTTATTGTCAATTTCTGCATTTTTTTCAGCGTTGCTCAAAAGCGCTGGTTTACGTCATGATGGGAGAATAGACGAGAGGTCCTACTGGATCACTCACGCATCTCATTTACCCACACCTTTGGTAATTTCATTTGTGTACCCAAGAATGATTGCCATTCATGACCTTGATGAAAAGGTAATAATGTATAATATGTATTATGTATTTAATAAATATTAGGGTGCATCCATTTTGGATTTAACGTGTTGCCTGATTTTTTCATTATTTATGCTGAATATTTCAGGAGTCGGATGATTCCATTATTCCCACTCCCATTGTGCTTAACAGCGAGCAAATTAGTGATGAAGGAATATATCTTCTTGAGAATGGAGAAGATTGTTTAATTTATGCTGGTAACTCAGTTCAGCCAAATATTTTGCAACAGTTGTTTGGAGTTTCATCTGTTGAAGAAATTTCCAACCAGGTACCATTTTTTTTATTTTTTTGTTTCTTTATTTTTTAATGTTATTAGTCAAACTCTTCCGTTGACATTTGCTATAAATATTTAATTACCCATACTACAGGGCGTAAGGCACACATCCGACTATTTTTAGGATTTTTCTTTTTTCAAAAATTGCATTTGTTTGCTTTGGGCTCTGAATTTGTTCTTTTGGATCTTTACTTGTGTCTTTGGTGGATGTTTCAGAAACTTTCTAGTATATGTGAAGAAATTTATCACTTACGGGTTTTTCCAACTTTTTTTCTCAGTTCACTCTTCAGGAATTCGACAATTCTTTGTCAAAGAAGCTGAATGCCATTGTAAATGAAATAAGACGTCAGAGGTGTTCTTATTTACGGTATGACTTAAATCAATCTTCAGCATTTTACATGATTGAGGACAATACTTCTATTCCATGACATGCTCGATTATTTTGTGACACCTTTTTCACTATTATTGTCTTGTTCTTTTTTCTGCAGCTTGAAATTTTGTAAAAAGGGAGACCCTTCAGGTTAGTGTCTGGCAAATCATTTCCACTCAAATCGCTTAATTTTGCTTATTCTTAACATAAAAAAACTGATCACCTTGTTAACCACGGCTTATTAGGCCTTTGGAATTTAATCTCATTACTACAATTGGTTTTTGTCAATAATCACAACTGTATTAGTAATTAATAACATTAATATAGTCACTTGCGTTTCAAATTTCGTCGCATCTTGCAGTGACATTACTCATATTTCTTCCTTGTTGTATTTATTTTGGGATTCATTTTTCTTTCTATGCAGGGATGTTGTTTTTCTCTCACATGGTAGAAGACAAATCACGACACGGGCTCTCATACGTCGAGTATATAATACATATTCATCGAGAGATTCAGAATAAAATGGCTTGAGCTCTATCGATGAAACTTATAATTTTCTGAGAAGAGGATTTTGTTGTTTTGATGGTTCCTAATCCTATATATAGAGTTCAAAGGTAGAAAAAAATAAAACTCAGTAAAGTGTTCTTTAATTTTGTTCTCATTTCTATTTTGACTCTTTTGGGTACATTAACTTCCAACTCTACAAGTTTAGTAAGCATTTAACTGGTATTAGTCGAGCCAGTTTAGCTTGCTTTTCTTCTCGTTTACCAACTCCACAAGTTTATCAGCATTCGCCACGACCTGCATAGATGTTCTGAAACCGAAACAAAAAAATGTATATTTCTCTTATGATTTATGATTAATAGTAGAATGATTTAATATCAAATAATGAACAAAAAGAGTAAATTACTTAGAAATGGGATAAAAGAGTAAATTTTTCCACATTAAAAATATTCAAATAATGAACGAAAAATATAAATAATAAAAAACTACAACCAAATACTTTTTGTTCATGATAATAATTTTTTTCAACTAAATTAAATGATTATGATCACTCCAAATTATACAAATTACATTACCCATACTTTTTTCAATCAATATAGTGATTAATATATATTTAAATAATTTATATTTATATTATTTTATTTTTATTTAATGATAAAATATTTAAATGTGTTATGTTTATTATCTATTATTTTAATTTTGATATTAAATTTATACATATTATTATAATATTTTATTTATATTTGTGTATATGCACAGGATCATGATGATCCATTAATCATGGAGCTCTTATATATTGGGCCTCATCTTCACTGTTTCATAGTTCAACTGCCCAGGTCCACATGCCCAAAGCCCACTAACTCGCCAGCCTGTAACAACTTTCCACGTTCCTTCCTTCTTTCTTCGCATTTTTCATTTGTGTCGGAAAATAGTCGCTGCATTGTTTGGGCATCACGCATATTCCATCTATATATATAACACAGATAATCCTTTACCGAGAAAAATAAATAATATCCAATATATTTTCCATAACTCTTTATCCCCGATAAGTCACCGGCGTAAAGAATCTATCTGCTGCAATCTTATCAGACTTGAAAGAGCGAGGGTTTTGATTGTCTCCTTGTTGCTCAGGTGATTTTCGCCTTTTCCTTTATGTTCTCGAGGTGTTTGTACTGCGATTTACTTGTTTTATTTCGCTGATGAATGTTATCGCTGAAAGATACTTAGGGTTGGAGGTGTTTTGATAATCTTGCCTGTTCCCTTTCGTTCATTTATTTTTTTTTCCTTCACGTATGCCACAGATTTGTGATTTTCAATTGTTAGTTGTCAGAGATTGGGATTTTCATTCGTTCCCCAGGAATTGATGAAATTGTGTTTGTCATCGCAAGTAGAATTTAGGGTTGGTGTATCAATCTAGTAATGGGTCTTGATAATTTAGCAATTTTTTTCCTTTGTTTCGCTTTTGATTTAAAGAATCGATTCTTAATTGATGTTTTCTTCAAGTTATCTGATGAACGTTCCTTTATTCTCAATTTTAGTTGCTGGAGCTTGGGGTTCATCTGTTTCCTTTGTTCACTCCCCGAGACGGATAGTTCCTCCGGTAGCCTGGACTCTGCTGATCAGAACATGAGCCTTTCAGAACAAAACAGCAGGAGGAGGGAAAACAGTAGCCAACGGCCCAGGAACAATAATTATTCGCGAAACAACCGTCGTGAGTGGGTCCCACGCGGATCAGCACCTGCTCCTCACACTTTAGTTCCATCAGCTAGTGAAGATGTTCCGATTCAGAATGACACTGGAAATGGTGCAGAGCCCATCAACAGGCCTGTCAGGCCCATTGTTCCCATGGGCAACAGGAACCATGGTGCATCGAGAGGAAATCCAGCCCGCTTCACAAACCGAAGAGGGAAAGAGATGGATGATAAAGGGAAGTACAACCGTGATGAGAATCCCAAGGCATCAAAGGGTACCAACATACCCCAGCTCGTGCAGGAAATTCAGGACAAGCTCTTGAAGGGTTCGGTCGAGTGCATGATTTGCTACGACATGGTTAGAAGGTCTGCCCCCATTTGGTCGTGCTCCAGCTGTTACTCAATTTTCCATCTGAGTTGCACCAAGAAATGGGCCAAGGCCCCAACTTCTATTGATTTGCTGGCCGAGAAGAATCAGGGCTCTAACTGGCGCTGCCCAGGATGCCAGTCCGTGCAACTTATGTCGGCGAAGGAGATTCGATACATGTGCTTTTGCGGGAAAAGGCCGGACCCGCCTACCGATTTGTATTTGACACCACATTCTTGTGGGGAGCCATGCGGAAAGCCATTGGAAAGAGTGATTCCTGGCAGCGACTTGAGTAGTGAGGATATCTGTCCTCATGTCTGTGTTTTGCAGTGCCATCCAGGCCCTTGTCCGCCTTGCAAGGCATTTGCCCCTCCACGCAAGTGCCCTTGTGGGAAAAAGGTTATTACCACGAGATGTGCCGACCGAATGTCAGTACTTACCTGTGGGCAAGCATGTGATAAGCTTCTCGACTGCGGGCGGCATCGTTGTCAGAGTGTCTGCCATGTGGGTCCGTGTGATCCTTGTGAGGTTCTTGTCAATGCTTCCTGTTTTTGTAAGAAGAAGGTCGAGGTTGTTCTATGCGGGGATATGACTGTGAAGGGGAAACTCGAGGGGGACTGTGGCGTGTTCTCGTGCGGTTCTGTCTGCGAGAACAAACTCAACTGTGGTAATCACGTCTGCCAAGAGACGTGCCATCCAGGCTCGTGCGGCGAATGTGAATTATTGCCGACAAGGATCAAGACTTGCTGCTGTGGTAAGACGAACTTAACCGAGGATCGACAAAGCTGTTTGGATCCAATCCCTACTTGTTCGAAGATTTGCCACAAAATCCTCCCTTGTGGTTTGCATCGTTGCGAGAACGTCTGCCATCTCGGGACTTGCCCGCCGTGCCACGTGCTCGTCACCCAAAAATGCCGCTGTAACTCCACCTCCCGAACCGTAGAGTGCTACAAAACCGTCATGGAAGAAGGAAAATTCACCTGTGACAAGCCCTGCGGCCACAAGAAGAACTGCGGGAGGCACCGTTGCAGTGAGCGTTGCTGCCCGCTCTACAATACCTCCTCCGGCCAGCCCTCGGCAGAATGGGACCCGCACCTTTGCTCGATGCCATGTGAGAAGAAGCTGAGGTGTGGGCAGCATTCCTGCACCTCATTATGCCACAGCGGTCACTGTCCTCCATGTCTTGAGACGATCTTCACTGACCTGACGTGTGCATGCGGTCGAACCTCAATCCCACCCCCTCTGCCATGTGGCACTCCCCGACCCTCCTGCCAGCACCCTTGCTCGGTGCCCCAGCCGTGTGGCCACTCGTCTTCCCACAGCTGCCATTTCGGGGACTGCCCTCCGTGCTCGGTTCCTATTGCCAAGGAGTGTGTGGGCGGGCACGTGGTCCTCCGTAATATCCCGTGCGGGTCAAAAGACATCAGGTGCAACAAGCTGTGCGGGAAAACGAGGCAGTGCGGGCTGCACGCATGCTCGAGAACCTGCCACCCTGGCGCATGTGGTTCCTCCTTCACTTCTGTCCCGGTTGGCACTCGGGTGTCGTGTGGACAGACTTGCGGGGCCCCCAGGAGAGATTGCAGGCACACGTGCACAGCCCTCTGCCACCCCTTGTCCCCCTGCCCAGATGTGAAATGCGAGTTCCCAGTCACCATCTCCTGTTCCTGTGGCCGTATGACAGCTGCCGTTCCCTGTGGGGCTGGAGGAGTTGCCGCCGACGGGTATAGTAACGTCGACAGCTTTCTGGAAGCTTCCATAGTCCAGAAGCTTCCCGCGCGCCTCGAGGAGAACGGGCAGAGAGTTCCGCTCAGCCAGCGGCGGCTCGCGTGCGACGACGAGTGCGCAAAGATGGAGCGGAAGAAGGTTCTGGCGGACGCCTTCGGCGTGGGCCCGCCGAGCCTGGACGCGCTCCACTTTGGGGAAACAACTGCTTCTGTCTCGGAGGTGATATCGGACCTCCTCAGGCGGGACGCCAAGTGGGTGCTGGCGGTGGAGGAGAGGTGTCGGCAGCTGGTGTTAGGGAGAAGCAGGGGCGGATTGAACGCTCTTAAAGTGCATGTTTTCTGTCCGATGCCTAAGGAGAAGAGGGATGCTTTGCGGCTGATAGCAGAGAGGTGGAAGCTCTCGGTCAACTCGGCTGGCTGGGAGCCGAAGAGGTTTGTGGTGGCTCACGTTACGCCAAAATCAAAAGCCCCATCCCGTATACTTGGTTTCAACAAGTTATCCGGCCCAGCTGGCAATATTCTGCAGCCGCCGGTTTTTGACCCACAACTGGACATGGACCCGCGCCTCGTCGTTGCTTTGTTTGATTTGCCGAGGGATGCGGATGTGAGTGCGCTTGTTTTGAGATTCGGTGGGGAGTGTGAGTTGGTTTGGTTGAACGATAAAAATGCTTTGGCGGTTTTTGGCGACCCAGCTCGTGCGGCTACTGCTATGAGGAGATTGGATCAGGGGTCGGTGTACCATGGAGCTGTTGTTGTGGTTGCTCAGAATAGCGGGGGTTCTGTGGGTGTGAGCTCGGGTGGGGCTCTGAAGGGGAATAATCCGTGGAAGAAGGTGGTTATGCAGGATTCTTCGAGCTGGAAGGAGGGTAGTAGTAGTAGTAGTAGTTGGTGGGGGCCTGAGGATTTGTCGAAATCTTGTGGGGATGGTAGTGGTGGGCCTAATGCGAAGGAGAAAGAGGGTTTGGGTGTGGGCTCAAGCAACAGGTGGAGTGTTTTGGTGTCGGGAAGCGTTTCCAGGTCGAGCGATGGTGCTTCTGCGAAAACCGAGAATTTTCGGAATAGGACGGGTGATGATAAGATGATAACGGGCTCTGGTGGGGTGGATAAATCGGGTTTGAGTTCGGTGGTGAATCGGGCAGGTTCGAGCGACGACACGTCTGCTGATGTGGTGGATGATTGGGAGCAAGCCTGTGTAGATTGAAAGTTTCGCATGAATTGAAGGCTTTTTTGTGTTTTCAAGTTGTTAGTAAGATGGGAGATTGTCATTCTACCATGATGATTTTTTT